GTTCAATAAAATGGTAAATGAAAAGGAACTCGTGCAACGAGTTTTCTTTCTTGTTTTTTTTTTTTCTTTTTTTTTCCTTCAGTGAAAATTACAAACGATCCGATTGCGTGCGACGAGGGGGCTGCGTTGCGTCTCGATGCAAGTCGCCGTCTCTTTGTTTCTTTTCGAGCCAGAGCCACGAGTGATTCTCTTTCCACCAGGCAATCGTGGCTCTCTGTATCGACCAACAGAGCGCCGCCACGCGGACTGTCATCGCGCACCCCATAAAATTACCCCGTAGAGAAACACGCAGACCACATGGGTCGCTGTTGGCCCGCCGCTCGAACCGTGAACGCCCGCTATAAGTGAATTGGATGATCGTCAATGATCGGCCGTACGTGACCGCTAATTGCCTCGATGATGCTTTTGGTTTTGATACTTGAGGTATTGCAGACTATCATGAAGCGAAAAGTACGTTGAATCGTCGTGATATTTGATTCTGTTTGGATATTTGGGATATTGGTTTCGTACTTGATGGGAGAATAACTTTAATTTGTGCCATGATGTGTTCCTCTGATGTAGATAATTCTAACAATTATCACTGTATTTGCTTCCCTTTCGTATTTGATAAAAAAATAACTTTAATGCCTGTCGCGATGTGTTTCGTATCTTAGAAACATATATAATCAATTTCTTTATTCTTTGACACGAGTAAGAATAATTTTAACATTCAGAGATCTCGTTTCACAACGCTTCGAGAGGTTAATATTCCGTTAATATTTGGAAATAGAGAATTTTCTTTCTCTCAAGAATATCTTCAACTTTTCCCTCAAATTCCAACATCGTGTGTTTTAACTCGCTTCGTCGAGAACCGGTCACAGTAGAATCAGTCGTTTCACTCAGACGACTAAAGCGACAACAATGTGCGCGTCAGTGACGATCAAAGTATCGAGCAATTATCATTAAAATATTAAAACAAACACGGGGCGTGAAATCGGTAATTCCATCGGATGATAGCATACGATAACGTTTACGCGTTATAGTCGTCGTCCCACTCGATACTCCATTTAACGCGTTCTTGCCGCCGTTTCAATTTATTTTCCCCGAGGCAAATGTTGTTACGCGGTATATATATTTGACATTTTGACCGGCCGTCGTGAAAATTTCATTACCAAACGTGACGTCGGCCAATCGTTAATATTTCGTTTCGTCGTTAAAGCCATTAACGCGCGTTTATCGCGAAAACAACTCGCCGAATCAATTACAACCTCGCTGGGAAATCACGATCAGAGTTCGAAGCTCTGGTCGCTTTTCCTTCTTTCGTATAAACTCGCTGCGATTCGGTTGTGCTTCGAAACTTTCGTCGTTAGAATCTTCTGATTGTGAGGGAAATTGCCTTGAAATTTAATTGATCTTCCGTTGTTGACTGAATTATTTATTGAGATATCCATAAATATTTAATTATTCTGCGTTTGTTGGAGTATTGCGCATTTTCATAAGAAAAACTGCCTTCTTTCCTCAACAATTCGGAACGCAGTCGTTGCAACTTTTGGCAATACAAGCTCTGTGATAAAACTCGAGCACAAAATTAATTACTTATGGGTACGCCTAATGTCACCTAATACGTATGTCGTTCGAGAGTTTGCCGAGACGTGATAGATCGTAGATTTGAAATAAACCTCGCAGGTTTATCAGACCAAACGCGCCGCGGAGTTTCCTCTCGCCGGTTAAAAAGAGAAAAGAGGCGGAGCAACAGGTTCGAAAGGCAGAAAACGAAATCTCTGGCTCATAGAGCGGCGCTTCATAGAGGAGAATGTTCCATTTTGACGGCGTTTAGACGTAAGAAGCCGTGTTCTTCACGCGGCCAAGTGTCCAAGGTGAATTTGCTACACGACGAAACATTAGAAACATATACGTGTGGAAGAGCGAAGGCTCCTCTCCGTAATTTCGACGAACGAGCACTTCGTTCACGGGATTCAAAGGGACGAATCGACCCCTCTGACCTAGTCGGTCTAACCTAAACTTCCTAAACTTCCAGAAATTTCAATCGCAGCGCTTGAAATTTACTTTTCAAGAGGGGCGAAAATGGCACACGAAGAGAGGCAATTAGTTTCTAAACGGAGGGAACTATCGCGTTGCGATAACAGGTTCGAGGGATCGATAATAATAATTCCGTCCCTCGACGAAACGAAGGGAGGAAGCTACGAAAGAAGCGTGATGTATCCCGGCTCTTATCCCACTTTCGATGATGATCGTGAGAAATTACAGAGGCAGAAACGCGAAACTCGTAAGCGTAATGAAACCGAAATCAACTCGGGGGAGGGGGGGAAAGGCTGGCGAACGGTGGGACGATGCGGTCGAGGGGGTAGCTGGTAGAAAGGTGAAAGGTCGGGCGATAAAATCCTCCGTTTTATAGCTGCTCTGGCTGAATAGCGTGTATCCGATGATTAAGCGCGCACTACGAATTCGCTTTGAGCAATGAAATTAGCAAATAAATCGACAAAGAGACAAAGAGAGACAAAGAGAGAGAGAGAGAGAGAGAGAGAGAGAGATACACGCGGCGTTTCTTGTTTCACACGACACGATATTAACACTTTATCTACCGCAAGCCTATTAATCAGCTTTTTTTTTTTGTGTTAATTGACCACTGGCCGATTAATTGGCTTTTAAGTGACCAACGATTATCAGGCGTAAAGGATCATAAACTTGTGTGAATCGTGACTAGTGAGAAGAGCAAAACTCAACGCGGAACATCTTTTGTTTATACATTTTATAACATTCCGTTGCATAAAGATTGTTATCGCACTTCAACTTGCGCTGGCAACCGATTGCGAACCATAACGAGTGACCAAACCGTATATATAATAATTCGACGCTACCCCCAACTCGTCGGTATGATATGACCGGATAGAAATTATCGAGGAGCAATAAATTTATTATTTATTACTTGTTTTGACTGAGTTATACTGAAATATACTTAAAACTGAGGAAATATTGCAATTTTGGGACGAAAAATTTTGTCCATGTGCGTAGCACGTCATTCCGGCGCAAGAGGTTAAAGAAATATTTTAAAAAATTAGTTCGCTTTCGATATTAGTAATACACGAATATTAGTTTACAAGTATGCAATTATACTGAGCTCAGTAGCTCGATAAAATAGGCACATACGTACGTTCTCGCGCGATAAAATCCGCGCTGAACTGATTATTAGTCGATCGTTAGTGAGCAACTTCCATCATGAGCGATAAAATGATTGAATGGAAAGTTACTAATGGAACATCAAAAAATAACCGACAGGTCGTTTATCGTTTCCAATGCCGACGAGCACGCAATTGGAAATGCAATACGTCATATTTCGAACGTAGTCGTTTACGCAATGCGGCCAATCGTGACGCAGTCGCTGCATTAATTGACAAATGCTCCACGCGTGCACACGCTGGCCTCTCCCTGCTTCATTTACCCAACTATTTCTCCTTACTTACGCTTCGTGCTTTGACAAATTACTGGACGCTCGCTGACATTCCAATCGCGGCAACGTTGCGACAAAACAATCGTTCGTACGTTGTAATTCCTGATTTTTCCAGCGTGAAAACGAGGGGGAAAGGAAACGAAATGAAGCGAAGGAAGAGTGGGAGAAACAAAAGGTTGACTGTTCGATCGATCTACTTGATAGCTGGACTCCACAACGCCAGAAGCTTCCAGACATCGGAAATAATCTCAACGATCGTTGTTGGATCGTCGTTCAGGCACATGGAGGGACAGAGAGAAAAGAAAGAAAGAAAAGTTGCAATCCCAACGACAGGAGTTTTGAAAAAAAAAAAAAAAAAAAAAAA